CCCAAGTCCGGTACGATCAACATGTTTCCTCCCCATGGATAGAAGTTCATTTAGATCAACTTTCCCTTTGTTTAGTTTGCGAACCGCTTTTGCAGTACGATCTAGCTCGACTGAGTTTGCCCTCAGTTTGCTTTGCATGCTTGTATGTTCGTTCATGAGTCGACCAACTTTAGTTTTCAGCTTCAATATTTTCTTGTTCCGATCAATAAGGAGTTTCCGAGTTGAGAATAGCTCAGTCTGCAAGCATTCAATGGTCTGAGTCCTTTCCAACCCATCATGCTTAGCAAGTTTGACACTACCTTCAAGAATGGAAGTTCGTGCCTTTGCAGTATCTAATTCACACTCTTTCTCAACAGTGAAGGAAGATGAGGCCTGTTCGCTCAGCAGTTTATTTGCTTTTGTCAGTTTATATACTTTACTCTGAAGCTTCTTCATGGCTTCAAATGCCTGTGCACATTTCTCCATGGCTAGCAAGTGTACAGGATCAACACACAAGTTTTGGTCAGCTTCGTCTTCAGATTTTTCAGCCTCTCTCATGCTTTCTTCAAACTTGGTTGGAATATGCGATGTGGTGAGACACATGAACTTTTTAACAGAGGAATGGATTGTCATATTACTAGTGTTGCGATGGAGGTTCGTTTGTGCCTCGTCATCTGAGTCTTCTCATGTTGCCTTCAGAGACTTGTTCTTCTTCTTAAGATTAGCACACTCATACTAAAAGTGCCCAAAACCACGACACTCCCTGCATTGATCCTTTTCAACTCGTTGTGAGTCAGGTTTTAAAAAAGGCATACTATTCTTCTTGTCTTGAAACGCATTCTTGCTGGAATTGTTGCCTTTCTTCCCAGCAAACTTATTTTTGTACAACCTTTGATTCATCTTTCCATAGTTTCTCGCAATTAGTACAAGTGCCTCTTTCAGCTCGCTATCGTCCACCGTCGAACCTTCATCGTCGTCACTGTCTTCTTTTTCCTCAACTACAGCAGCTTTGAGAGCCAGTCCCTTGCTTTTGACTTTGTCATAATTATTGTTGATCTCAAACGTCCTTAGTTCTCCAAGGAGTTCATCAACATCTAGAGGTGCAATTTTTTGGAAACTCTCAAGGGCTGTAATTTTTTCACTGAACCTGGGAATAAGTGTTTTCATAATCTTTTGAACTTAATGATTCTCAGAGACTCTTCTCCAAGCATCGCACTTTGATTCACCAGATCACAGAATCTGGCATAGTATATGTCAATTGTTTCTTCATCCCGCATTCTGATTTCATCCAATTCAAGAGTCAACCATCGAAGTCTGGATGCCTTGACAGTCGTTGAGCCTTCAAATTGACGTTGTAGGATCCGCCAAGCATCTTTTGCAGTCTTCCATTGAACTATGATCTTTTGTCTTGTCTGATCCACTGCGATCATGATCGCATACAAGGCACGGTAGTTGGCTTCTTCTTGAAGCTTCTCAGCATTTGTCCAGTTGTCTTTTGGTTTAAGTACAGTAGCCATCGTAGCTCCTTTTCCTTGATCTGGTATTTCTGCCATGACAGGATGCTCCCATCCTTTTTCAACACTTTCCCACGCACCTCTTCCAAGCGATCTTAGGAAGATCGTCATCATAGATTTTCAATATGAGTAATTGGAACCATCCAGTTGCGGAGGCCTAGACATCGATCCACTTTCTTGATTCATAATTTCCCAAAACACAAGTCCTTAGATCTTTCGTAAAACACACGAAAACCCGCTCTGGTATCAATTGAAGTTTGATACTTGTACACCAAGTATTCAGAGTTTTTTACAAATCGATCAAACAGAATTAAAAGAACATTCAAATAGATGCGGAAGCAGTATTTACTGAAAACTTAACCTTCAGGAGAGCATCCCACTCTCCTTTTGGATCTCTTTCATTATTGCAAATATCACAAACATTCTTCAAGGGTTTACAGCATAGACTCCCTCTATACTATACTTGAACAATAATTTGCACTATTACTTATCCGACCACAAATCCCTTGTAGTTTTTCTAGTTTAAATCCCTCAAACTCTATTAGAGTGAACCTTCGAACACTCTGTCAAATTTCTATCGAAAGTAATGCACACAGTTTGGATCACTATCCCAATACAAAACCTAACAAAACCAAGAAAATCAAAGATCCAAAGTCATCCTCCACATGAGTTTCGTCCTCCTTTTATGTGCGAGCTACATTTGGTAAGTCTTCTCATTAGCTTTCCCTCCAAGACAGAGTGTACTTATAGTAAGTCTCTTGATGCCCAAAAGTCGCGATCTCTCTTTCGTAATCATGGAAGGTGAATCTCGAGCTTATTCCCATAGTCCTGCCATAACAAATATGTATTATCAATAATCAACTTTAATTAAAAAAAAGTTTAAGCAATTTAAATCAAACTTCCCTTATATATTCTTGTGATTGTCTGAATCCTGGGAAGTCAATAAGGTTCTTCGATTTACTGCCAATCTTTAGAACTTACAATAACAAATAACAAGCAAGAAGAAGGGTACAAAGCAGCAAGTAATACAAAACGTGTCATCTTGGACAAAGAGAAGTCCAGGAAAAAAGTCCGCTCCACAGAAGGCCAAAGACATCAACAAGTATGGACAACTATGAAAATTTGAAAGAGGAGTATCCCATCTGATCCATCCGTACAAGGGTACAGAGGCGTAGAGGAATATCGTCGGGGTGGAGGATGCGCCTCTGGGGGATGGAGGTCCAAACACCTGCCGGGAAGTCAGCTGGTCGATTCCGTATATGGTGTTACCTTGTAACCCTTCCAAAGAAATAGGGGCTAATCTCCATATGAGTTTTGCTCTACTGCAGCTGAAAAACAGATGTTCAAAGGACTCCTCCTCCTCTCCACAGTGTTACAGATTGTGTCCACTGATATACCTCTGGTGTTCAGGTTTGTGAGGACAGATAGAACACTATTCAGACATTTCCAAATGAAATGTCTGATTTTGGTCTTTACTTTTAGGCTCCAAGTCCTTTGTTCGACCTTCCTTTCTCTGGAAGATTTGAGTTTGAGCTTGCAATCTCCATCTGCCTCTAATGTGTTTCAATGAGTTTTGAATAAGTTGATGCCACCTAGAATTTACCACTAGAGTTCCACTCCCATCTGAGCTTACCTGTACAATTAGGGTCTAGGCCTTCAATCTTCATGATTGCTGCAGATTCTTCCTCAATTAACCACTACTCTATTAGGTTTCTGTTCCATCTCCTTCCAGTAACATCAATGAGGTCACTTACCCAATTTAGGTCAGGATTACTTGATTGTTTACATGCTGGTCTGAAACATATTAAATTTGGGACCCAAGGGTGTTTCTAGATGTGTACTGTTCTGCGACTCTTGATTTGGTATCTGACCCCCATCAGAACTATCCTTCATATTCCAACAACTTGTCCAGAGCTAAGGGCACTTGCTTTACTTCTTTGCTAATTGAAGGCTGACATGGAGGAAATATTTCCATTTTAAAATCCTGCTAACCAGAAGATGGGGTTGTAAGGTGAGTCTCCATAGCTGCTTTGAGATCAAGGCTGCGTTAAATGTATGGAGGTCATGAAATCTGAGTCCTCCCATCTTCTTTGGCAAGGTTAAACTCTTCCAGCTTTTCCAGTGAACACCATGTGAGCCTTGTTTATTATGATTCCACAAGAAATTTGCAAAGTGTGAAGGGAGTTTCTTGTTTACTGACTTAGGCATTAGAAAGCAGGACATTGTACATGTTAGAAGGGCACTTAACACTAGTTTCACCATTACTTCCTTACCTGCACAAGAAAGATAAATATTTGTCCAGTTTGAAATTCTTTTCTTGATGGCAGTCTCCACAAATGAGAATGTTGCATTTTTAGATTTACCTATACCAAGAGAAAGTCTTAAATATGTTGAAGAGGTTTGAGATTTTATGCCTAAAAAGATGTGACAGACTTGGTTTTGTATGGACAGAGGGGTATTCTTACTAAAAAAAGGTGGTGGATTTGGCAAGGTTGACTTTTTGGCCTGGTATTTATTGAGGATTTGGATAATGGTAGTGGCTTGAGGGATGTATGCCTTGCAAAGAGTAAGGTATCGTCTGCAAAGAATAGATGTGTGAGTGCTGGGTAGTTTTTACTCATCCTATGCCTTGCAAATTACCATTAGCAACTTCTGAATTGATTAGATAGGTAAGAATCTCTAAAATTGAGATCAAAATCTAGGTGACAGGGGGTCACCCTGTCTCAATCCTTTTGATGGCCTGATATAACATGTAGACTCTAAATTCACATTCAAAGCAAATGAAGTTGAAGAAATGCACTACATAACCCATCTCACAAAAAGAGCATTAAGTTCCAATTACAACATAATCAAACTCACACTGTTCCACTCAACCCTATCAAGTGTTACACATGTCTAACTTTAAGCCCATATAATGATTCTTGCCAGTCCTATGACACTTCAAAAAATGAATGACTTCATTAGTTATAATCACATTGTCAAGGATATGTCTATTAAGCACAAAAGTTAAATGAGTTTCACTCATGCAATGAAGAAGACAAATTTTTAACTTATTGGCCAGGATTTTTGAAATAACTTTATAAGTGACACTACACAGACTGATTAGTTTGAATTGACTTACCATTGTTGGGTGAGGGCACTTAGGGATAAGAGTAATCAAAGATTGATTCATGCTTTTCAAGATAAGAACTGAATCAAAGAAACTATTGACAGAAGAGCATTGTTGAGTTAGTATTTAGTTGGTTAATATAGGTTGTATTATTAATGTCATTTACTAGAGTTGCTAGAGTCAATATGTTGTTCTTTTTTGTTTCCTAAAGTCGTGTTTCCTTTCTTACTATAAATAGTGTTGGATATTGTAATATTTGACCGTTGAGCATTATATGAAAATTACACAGAAGGAGATTTTTCTCCCCAAATTTCATCTTCCATTTTTCTGCTTTTCATATGGTTCGATTTCTTCATGGTATCAGAGCCTGATTTGGCGAAGCTTTGATCGGAAATCTCATGGCGAGATGCGACCATACCACCGGTGGCGAGATCGTTCTATCGCACGACGATCCGATGTATCTTCAAAGCTCCGATCACCCTGGGATGAATCTGGTGTCAATTCAGCTGAACGGCAACAACTTTCTACCATGGAAGCGAGCTGTTCTCATCGCACTAGGCGCGAAAAACAAGCTTGATTTCGTTAATGATACGCTTTCACCTCCTCAGGATCCCGATGATTATAATAAATGGAAAAAGGTAGATTATATAGTTATTTCCTGGTTGCTGAATACAATGTCGACTGAGATAGTGGAGGGTTTTGTTTATGTGGAATCTGCTTTTAGACTTTGGGATATCATAAATCAAAGGTTTGGCGAGTCAAATGCGTCGTTGCTATTCAGTTTGCAGAAGGAGATCGCCAACATTAAGCAAGGAAATTCTTTTTTTATGTTGTATTTCTCAAAATTGAACAGACTGTGGGATGAATGTGCTGTTTTAGATCCATTACCTCTCTGTGGTTGTGCGAAGGCAAAGAATCGTAATGCCCCGTATTTTATTAATAAAGGAAAATACTAGCTTTTAATTTTAAGCTAGCCTTTGTTGATAAATAATCATGTTCATGTTCAAGTTCGAGTTAATCAGCTAGTCATATTCCAAGTTTGACTATTAGTCGATAAATTATTCGGTTTAATTATTTAAGTAACCGAATAAGTTTCCAGATTTAATTCCGATTCGTTTATTTAATTAATGAGTTCGGAATTAAT